TCCACGTCTAGATCTTTGATCTTCATGTTCCTGTCTTTCTTTGATACAAACGGAGCAGATTTCTTCTTCTTCATCGTCGTTTGATCTTTCTTTTTTGCTCTCTCCCAAGGGTTTTTGCTTGAGGAATCAAGCGCTTCCGTTTTTCCTGGGAGTTTCGAGCTGAAATCATGTCTGAAATCTTTAGCTTTGCTGGTATGTTCCTGAAATCATCTCATCTTCTAATTTTATTGATCAGATTGATTTTGCTAAGGTTAGATTTAGGCGTTTCCATATTTTCTAGATCCTTGGCGCATAGTTTCGTGTATATGGATGAGTTGATTATTCATAGATGTGTGACGAGTTAGAAATAGATAGATCTGGGAGTTAGTTTCAGTCTTTGATCTAAATCTGGTCCTAATTAACGAATTCAATCTCTGTCTGTTTGTTTAAAGTTAAGATCAATAGTCTCTCTGGCTCATCAAAATTTCTCCTTTGGAATTTTACAGGTGAGAATGATTTTTACCGTCGTGGGGCGATTTACCCAAATCCAAAGGATGCTAACCTTTTACTGTCGCTTGGTAGTCTCGTGGATTGCTATTTCCCTCCTTGCAAGAGGTCGCGCGTCGTTGCACCTTCTCTATACAGTGCTTTTGAGGAAAAGCCAGTCTCTATTGATGTTCTCCCAGATGAGTGCCTCTTTGAGATCTTTAGGCGTTTGTCTGGATCGCAAGAGAGGAGTGCTTGCGCTTCTGTCTCGAAACACTGGCTTACACTTGTAACTAGCATCCGACAAAATGAGCTTGATGTTCCCTCCAGCCAAAAAACCGAAGATGGTGAAGATTGTGAGGGATGCTTATCTAGGAGCTTAGATGGAAAGAAGGCAACAGATGTTAGACTAGCTGCTATTGCCGTTGGAACAGCTAGCCGTGGGGGTCTGGGCAAACTGTCTATTAGGGGAAGCAATTTTCCTAGCAAGGTTTCAGATCTTGGTCTTAGGTCGATTGGTCGGAGCTGTCCTTCTCTTAGGGCTGTTTCCCTTTGGAACCTTTCTACCATTACTGACAATGGCCTCTCAGAGATTGCTGAGGGTTGTACTCAACTTGAGAAGCTTGACCTGAGCCGATGCCCTTCAGTCACGGACAAGGGTTTAGTAGCGATTGCTAGGAGCTGCCCTAACTTGACTGAGCTGACATTGGAGGCTTGTTCGAGAATTGGAGATGAGGGCCTGCAAGCTATTGCACGATCCTGCTCCAAGCTGAAGTCAGTCTCTATCAAGAACTGTCCTCTTGTCAGGGATCAAGGAATCGCCGCCCTTCTGTCTAACACCACCTGTTCCTTGGCAAAACTTAAGCTTCAGATGCTGAATGTTACTGATGTGTCTCTTGCTGTTGTGGGTCATTACGGCTTGTCGGTCACTGATCTTGTGCTCTCTGGATTGTCACATGTGAGTGAGAAGGGATTCTGGGTCATGGGAAATGGCGTTGGGCTGCAAAAACTTAATTCTCTAACCATCACAGCCTGCCAGGGAGTCACTGACATGGGGCTTGAATCTGTGGGAAAGGGCTGTCCGAACGTGAAAAAGGTGTTGGTTAGTAAGTCACCATTATTATCCGACAACGGGTTGGTCTCTTTTGCAAAAGCTTCTTTATCATTGGAGAGTCTTCAGCTTGAAGAGTGCCACAGGGTCACCCAGTTTGGGTTTTTTGGTTCCCTTTTGAACTGTGGCGCAAAGTTGAAGGCTTTCTCTCTGGTGAACTGTTTGGGCATCAGAGATCTAACCACAGGTCTGCCTGCTTCATCTCATTGCAGCGCACTGCGCTCCCTGTCTATTCGTAACTGCCCTGGCTTTGGTGATGCTAATCTTGCAGCCCTAGGGAAGCTGTGCCCACAGCTTGAGGATGTTGAGCTGTATGGGCTCAAGGGGATAACAGAGTCTGGTTTTCTACATCTACTTCAGAACCCTCTTGTGAAGGTGAACTTCAGTGGTTGTTCCAATTTGACTGACAGAGTGATCTCTGCCATCTCTGCTTGCAACGGTTGGACTCTTGAAGTCTTAAACGTCGATGGATGTACCCAGATCTCTGATGCCAGCTTGGTTGCCATTGCAGCAAACTGCCAGATTCTCAGTGATTTGGATATTTCGAAATGCTCAATCTCGGATTCTGGGATTCAAGCGTTGGCTTCCTCTGACAAACTCAAGCTTCAGATCCTATCCATGGCAGGTTGCTCTTTGGTCACAGACAAGAGCTTGCCAGCCATTGTAAGGTTGGGTTCAACTTTGTTGGGATTAAATCTCCAACAGTGTCGATCCGTGTCAAGTTCCACTGTCGAATTCTTAGTCGAGCAGCTTTACAGATGCGACATCCTCTCCTGATCGGTAATTCCATGGTCGACATTTCCACCTATATAATGAAGGTATTTTAGTTCGTCCAAGTTAAGTGTCAGCTCTTTTTCAGGCTCTGTGATCTACGTGTGTCTCTCGCTAGGCTCGGTATACCTGGTTTTCCTCTATTTTTTTTCCAAGTAGTTCGGCTTCCGGTTTCTTTTTCCAGTCAGTGTTGTTTTTCTTGGGTTTCCTTTTATTAGGGAACTCTAGCTTATCACGAAATCGGAAGGTCGTGTGGTTGCTTGAGAATATACTTACCGGTATACCGAGATCTTAGGGTTTATCATCTCCTGTGTCTTGCCTTGGTGTCTTTTAAGTGCCTAATCTTTCTTTTCTTTGCGTCGTTTGTCTTGTTAGCTTTGGTTTTTTCTCGAAAGGGTCGTGTGTGATTTGTACGGGTTCAAGATTTGTTCAGGCCTCGGGTTCTCTCTCAGAGGTTTGCTCTGGCTTTTGTTGCAACAAACTCTATTAAGAGTTTTTTTTGTTATTGTTGTTTTTTTGCCAGAGCCCTCGTTTTTTTTTTCCAGGCCTGTATTACAGTCTGTATGAACACCGTACTAAATTATGTAAGCCCTTTGGGATGGTTTAATGAGTATTAAATAAAAATCTCATTTCGTTGTATAATACACAGTTTGCATTTCTTTTTAATATCTTTCGAGATCTGAGAAAAATTACACCTTTAAATCTATTAATGGGACAGAGAATCAGATTGTGTGAAAACAAACCTGAGTTTGACTTAGATTTACGTTTGTTTGTGTCCAATCAAAATGAATATAGTGTTCAATGAATGTGGTCGAGGGGAAGAATGTGACCAGCTATTATTTTTTCTTGATACGATATGATTTGGGTGGGATTAAAATAAAGTAGAAAAGGAGCCATTATTATATTCGTTGTCACTATTATTGTTATTGTGGGCTAATCTTAATAGTAATTAATTAAGATGGGCCAGTTTTCCCAAATTATGATCACTTAAAGTGGAGACAAGAGAATCATTGTGAGTTGCGCGTATTGTTCACACAACTTTGACCATATATTCGCAAGTGTGGAGTTCCAAGCATCTAAAAGAAAGGTTGAATAAACACATGAAGCACAAGATATATAGTAGTATCAATTTAGGGATTTTATAAGTATTGTTCTAAAATTCAAAGATATAACCATTCTCCTTTTGTGGCTCCGATAGGTATAGTCTCAAATTTCAATGATTTTTATAAAAGGAAAACATGCATTGATTTGTTTAAGATTCAATTTTTTACAATACTCTATAACTTAACTTTTACAAGTTAGTATTAGGATACGATCCAATCAAATCGTATCTCCTATAACTTGCCAATCACACCTCTGATTTATACTCTTTCAATGTATAGTT